GGGTCTAGGGGTATGATTCTCGCTTTGGGTGCGAGAGGTCCCGGGTTCAAATCCCGGACGAGCCCGAAAGGTCCCATTTTGTGGCTCCTTCCGGGTCTTTTTCTCCCCCCTCATTTCCGCGTTTTGTTGGTTCGTTTTTCTCTGTTTTTTATTCTTTTCTCTTTTATTTCGCGTCGTTTCTTCGGTTTTTTGGTTCTTTCGGGTGTTTTTTTTTTTCGTTTATTTTTGTTTCTGTTTTTTTCTGCGGTTTCTTTTGGGGTTTTTTTGTGTTAATTTTTGGGGATTTTGGGTTTTTTTATTATTTTGGGGGTTTTTTTGTGGAATTTGAGCTTTTTTTTAGTTTTTTCTCGGTTTCCATGTGGGGTTTTTTGCTTATTTTTTCTTAATTTGGTGTTTTTTATTCTTTTTGGCCTGTTTTCTTTGTTGTTTTTGTTTATTTTGGGGTTTTTGGGGCAGTTTTGTGGCGTTTTATTGAGGGGTTTTTTTGTTGTTTTTGGAGTTTTGCCCTTTTTTGTTGTTTTTTTGCTGCTTTTTACCCTTTTTTGCTGTTTTTTCTTTCTGTTTGTTTATTTTAGGGGAGTTTTAGGGGGGTTGGTGTGTTTTCTTTGTTGTTTTGGGGGGTTTTGCTTTGATTTTTGTTGGATTTTTGCTTTTTATTTGTTTTGGGGGGGTTTTGGGGTGGTTTTTTTGGTTCAGTTTGGGATTTTGGGGGTTTTTTTGCCTGTTCTTTTTGTTGTTTGTGGGAGTTTGGTTTGGTTTGGATGTTTTTGGGTTCTTTTCTTTGATTTTTGTTGGATTTTTGCTTGATTTTTGATGGGTTTTTTGCTTTTTTATTTGAGTTTTATTTGTTTATTGGGTTTTTTGGGTGTTTTTTTGTTGTCGAGTTTGGGATTTTGGGGTTTTTTTGCCTGTTCTCTTTGTTGTTTGTGGGAGTTTTGTTTGATTTGGGTGGTTTTGGGGTCTTTTCTTTGATTTTTGTTGAATGTTTGCTTGATTTTTGTTGGTTTTCTTGCCTTTTTATTTGAGTTTTATTTGTTTATTGGGTTTTTTGGGTGTTTTTTTGTTGTCGAGTTTGGGATTTTGGGGTTTTTTTGCCTGTTCTCTTTGTTGTTTGTGGGAATTTTATTTGGTTTGGGTGGTTTTGGATTATTTTCTTTGATTTTTGTTGGATTTTTTGTGGTTTTTATTTGAGTTTTATTTGTTTATTGAGTTTTTGGGGGGTGCTTTTTTGGGTTTTGTTTTTTTATTGTTGGGGGGGGTTTCTTTGGGGCCCAACCCGCTGGTTTTGGGGTTGTTGGGGAGGGAAAAGGTGGGGAAGGAAAAAGAGTCGCTGCTGGCAGCGGTGGGATTCGAACCCACGCCCCCGAAGAGACTGGAGCCTTAATCCAGCGCCTTAGACCGCTCGGCCACGCTACCCCATTGGAGTCACACCTCCCACACTTAATATTCTTAATCTTGAAAAACCCTTTGCCTCTTCATCCTCTTCATCTTCTTCATCATCTTCCTCCTCATCATCCTCATCATCCTCATCATCTTCTTCATCATCCTCTTCTTCATCCTTTTCCTCCTCATCTTCATCCTCTTCATCCTCTTCATCTTCTTCATCCTCTTCCTCCTCATCATCCTCTTCTTCCTCCTCATCATCCTCTTCATCTTCTTCATCTTCTTCATCCTCTTCATTATCCTCCTCCTCATCATCTTCTTCATCTTCTTCATCCTCTTCCTCCTCATCATCCTTTTCCTCCTCATCTTCTTCATCCTCTTCATCATCTTCCTCCTCATCATCCTCTTCATCTTCTTGATCTTCTTCATCCTCATCATCCTCTTCATCTTCTTCATCCTCTTCATCATCCTCCTCCTCATCATCCCCTTCATCTTCATCCTCCACTTCATCGTCTTTGTCTTCATCATCTTCATCTTCATTTCCATCCTCTTCATCCTCCTCTTCATCGTCATCATCTTCATCGTCATCATCATCATCTTCATCCCCCACTTCATCGTCTTTGTCTTCATCATCTTCATCTTCATTTCCATCCTCTTCATCCTCCTCTTCATCGTCATCATCTTCATCGTCATCATCATCATCTTCATCTCTGTCTTCATCCTTCTCATCTTCATCATCTTCATCCTCCTCATCTGTCTTCATTCTCCTCTTCATCTCCATCCTTATCATCATCCTCAGCTTCATCTTCATCCTCCTCTTCATCTTCATCATCCTCATCATCTCCATCTCTATCTTTATCCTCCATCTTCACCCTCAGCTTCATCCTCATTGTCCTCACCATCTTCCTCTTTAGCTTAATTCTCCTCCTCATCTCCATCCTTATCATCATCCTCAGCTTCATCTTCATCATCCTCCTCATCTTCATCCTCAAGCTGTGGCCTTGGTGGGTCCATGGGCCTTGGTGGGGCCAGAGCTTTTGCCTTGCTAGGGGTTTGGTGGGGCCTTGGGCCTTGGTGGGGACAGTGGTTGTTGGACCTTGGTGGGACAGAGCCATGGAGATGGAGGCCACAGGCCTTGGTGGACATGGAGGCTATGGGCCTTGGTGGGGTTAGAGGCCATGGGCCTTGGTGGGGCCTTGGTTGGAGGCCATGGGCCTTGGTGGGGTCTTGGTTGGAGGCCATGGGCCTTGGTGGGGCCTTGGTTAGAGGCCGTGGGGCCTTGGTTGGAGGCCATGGGCCTTGGTGGGGTCTTGGTGGGGTCTTGGTAGAGATGGAGGCCATGAGCCTTGGTTGGGATGGAGGTCATGGGCCTTGGTGGGGTCTTGGCAGAGATGGAGGCCGTGGGCCTTGGTTGGGATGGAGACTATGGGCCTTGGTGTGGCCTTGGTGGGCTCTTGTTTGGGTTGGAGGCCATGGTGGGGATGGAGGCCTTGGTGGGGAATGGAGGCCAAGGTGGGGAATGGAGGCCTTGGTGGGGCCTTGGTGGGGTCTTGGTAGAGATGGAGGCTGTGGACCTTGGTTGGGATGGAGACTATGGGCCTTGGTGTGGCCTTGGTGGGCTCTTGTTTGGGTTGGAGGCCATGGTGGGGATGGAGGCCTTGGTGGGGAATGGAGGCCATGGTGGGGAATGGAGGCCTTGGTGGGGCCTTGGTGGGGTCTTGGTAGAGATGGAGGCCGTGGGCGTTGGTTGGGTTGGGGGCCATGGGGCCTTGGTGGAGCCTTTCTGGGGCCTTGTTGGGTGATGACCCTTCTCTTCACGAGGAGATGGAGGCACCTGAGACCCGAGGGCCTGAGCTCAACCCCAACTTTGTTCCCCCTGGGTCATTTCCTGCAGCGTTTTGGCCACAAAAACAAACAAAGTGACTTTTGGGGTCACGTTGGAACCTCCTCGGGTGGGACTTCTCGTGGTGCTCCCACCCCAGAGGGTTTCATTAGGTACTTAATTAGTGGTGTCTGATGATGCTTGATGCCCCTTGAGGTCGTTGGGGGTTGTTTGGGGGGTTGTCCTGCCAACTTTCCTTGGGAAGAACCACCTGAAAGCGCCTTCAAACCCTGGTTTTGGTGGCACCAGCAGGGTCAGGCCGGGCCTTCTATCCTCAGAGATCTTCCATGGGGAGGAAGGTCCCCATCTTCTCCTCCTCCTCCTCCTCCACCTGGGCCTGGTGAAGAATGTTGCTGGCGGCCCTGACGGCCGATTTCACGGCGGTTTCAAGCCAACCATGAGGTTGAGCCACGTGTTCTCCTGCAAAATGGACCCTCCCCTCGGGCTGGAAAAGCTCCTGGGAATAATCCACAAACTGGAAAGGGGTGAAGGCAGCGAAGGCCCCCATGGAATGTTGGTCCAGCTCCCACTTGTGGATCACGTACCGGTCGCAGATCTCCTGCAGGAAGTCCTTGTTGAGTTGGTGGATCTCGGCCAGGTCTTGATAAACCACGTCCAGACAGGCCTGATCCGAGAGGGACAGGAAGAACAGGGAGTCTTCATTCCAGGTGTAGGAAGCCAAGATGACCCCCACCCCGCTGGAGAAGTTGTGGTTGGGGTAGTAGATGAACCTGGAAGGGTGGTCGGTGATGGAAGGTCCTCCTCGGATCCCATCCTGCTCCCAGAACTTCTGGGAACAAACCAGGATTATTTTGGTGGCCCCGGCGTAGTGGATGGAACGGAGGGCTTGGGTTTTGGGTGGAGAAAGAGGGGGGTGGAAGTGGATGTGCCTGGTGGCCTTGGCCGTGGAGGTGACCAGGACGTAATCAGCAGAGATTCTGGATGGGGCCAAAGTGTCTGGAGCTCGGTAGAAGACTTGGACTTGGTTGTCCTGGGTCATGATCTTCTCCACGGTGCAGTTGAACCGGACGACGTCGGGCAAGGCCTTGAGAAAGGCCTTGGGCAACTGGTCAAACCCCCCCGTGATCTCGAAGAACCTGGGGAGAGAAAGAAGGAGCAGGAAGTGGGGAAAGGTGGCCCCTGCAAGAGGTTCTAACACAGCTTGGTGGACCAGGGTTCTCAGGCATCTACATGGAAGTGTCTTTCTCCTGGCTGGAGGGTTTTGGGGTGGGTCCTACAACCATTTTCCTGCTGGGAGGAGTTGGACTTGATGGTCCTCAAGGGTTTCCTGGAGATGGTTCAGCTTGGAATGACGTGGGCTTGGAAGTTCATCCAGTTCCCAGCCCTTTGCCATGGGAACAGGGACCTCCCACCCACCCAGGTCCCTCAGAGCCCCAGGAGATGCTGTCACAGGGGACGTGGTCTCACCTCTCTGAAGAGAAGACACCAAAGTCCCACAGGGAGGCCAGGAAGGAGAGATAAAACCCGGAGTCCTCGTTCATCAGGTCACCAATCATCTGAACTGCTCCTCTGCTCAGGTTTCCCACCTTGATCAGGTACTCCTGGGGAAGCCAAGGAGGAGGAGCAGGAGAAGGAGGAGAAGAAGGAGGAGAAGAAGAAGAAGGAGGAGGAGAAGGAGGAGGAGGAGAAGGAGGAGAAGAAGAAGGAGCAGAAGGAGGAGGTGGAGAAGAAGGAGGAGAAGGAGGAGAAGAAGGAGGAGAAGAAGAAGAAGGAGGAGGAGAAGGAGGAGGAGGAGAAGTAGGAAGAGAAGGAGGAGGAGAAGGAGGAGAAGAAGAAGAAGGAGAAGAAGAAGAAGGAGCAGCAGCAGAAGAAGAAGGAGCAGAAGAAGCAGAAGGAGCAGAAGAAGAAGGAGAAGGAGGAGAAGAAGGAGCAGAAGGGGGAGAAGAAGGAGCAGAAGAAGAAGGAGGAGGAGAAGAAGGAGGAGGAGAAGGAGGAGGAGAAGGAGGAGAAGAAGAAGGAGCAGCAGAAGAAGAAGAAGGAGCAGAAGAATGAGGAGAAGGAGCAGAAGAAGAATGAGGAGAAGGAGCAGCAGAAGAAGGAGAAGGAGCAGAAGAAGAATGAGGAGAAGGAGCAGAAGAAGAAGAAGGAGCAGCAGAAGAAGAAGGAGCAGAAGAAGGAGAAGGAGGAGAAGAAGGAGCAGAAGGAGGAGAAGAAGGAGCAGAAGAAGGAGAAGGAGCAGAAGAAGAATGAGGAGAAGGAGCAGCAGAAGAAGGAGAAGGAGCAGAAGAAGAATGAGGAGAAGGAGCAGCAGAAGAAGGAGAAGGAGCAGAAGAAGGAGAAGAAGGAGGAGGAGGAGAAGGAGAAGAAGAAGACAACAGCTTGAGGTTGTCCTCCTGGCCAAAAGCCACGTCCTGCTGCCTCCTTCCCGCTCCTGATCTTCTCTGAGCAGGTTCAAAAGCCACCAGAGGGTGGTGGTTGCCCAACTTCCTTACCTTGGTGGAGAAGGAGTCGTGTTCAGCCAGAAACTTCTTGCAGTCCACACTCTGGAACTTCTGCAGAGCCTGGAGAGGTGGAACCATCCAGATGTTCAAGCTGGTTGCCCAAAGTTTGACCCCTCCCCAAATTCTCAGGACGATCATCTGGGTTGGTTTGGGTGGTGGGATTGGGGTGGGTCCTGCTCCTTGGGCAACACCCACCTTGTCCAGGGCTTCCCTGTAGAGCTGAGTGGGACTCTTGCCCTTCTCTGATGGCTTCACGGGGTAGTTGAGGACATCAGGGTTCTTCTCCACCTCCCCGGCCCGGATCCGGGTCCCGTTGATCAAGTACCAGGCGTTGGGGTCCCTCACCTGGAAGGGGCTCAACTTCAGCCCAAACTGCCTGATGACCTCAAGGACCAGCCTAGAAGAGAAGAGACCACCTTGGGGGACAACCCCAAAACCTGCCCCACCCAAAACCTGCCCCTCCCAAAACCTTGGGAAGAACCCAAAACGTTGGGGAAACGCAGAAGACACTTTCTCATGGTGGAACCACACGTGGCCCTGGGTTGGGAGTGGAGATCTTGGCTATTTAAGGTGGGTTTTGCCCCTTTTTTGGGGGGCTTGAAGTTGTCCTGCTTGGTCCATCGACCATGGAGGAAGGAGCTCTTTGGGTTAAGGTCCCTCTCCACCCATTGGTTGCACCAGGAGGAAGAGCTGGAGCAGGAGGAAGAGTTTCCTACATTTCTGAGCCTTCCCCACCTTCCACCCTTGGAGAACCTTCTCCACCTTCCTCCCCTGGAGACCCTTCTCCACCTTCCTCCCCTGGAGACCCTTCTCCACCTTCCTCCCCTGGAGACCCTTCTCCACCTTCCTCCCCTGGAGACCCTTCTCCACCTTCCTCCCCTGGAGACCCTTCTCCACCTTCCTCCCCTGGAGACCCTTCTCCACCTTCCTCCCCTGGAGACCCTTCTCCACCTTCCTCCCCTGGAGACCCTTCTCCACCTTCCACCCCTGGTGGATCTTTCCCACCTTACTGGGACCACCCATGGATCTCCCCCTTCTTTCCATCCCAGTTGAACCTTCTCCACCTTCCACCCCAGTTGAACCTTCTCCACCTTCCTCCCCTGGAGAACCTTCTCCAGCCCTGGAGAGAACCTTCTCAACCTTCCACCCTGGTTGAACCTTCTCAACCTCCTCCACCTTCCAGCCCTGGTGGATCTTTCCCACCTTACTTGGACCACCCATGGATCTCCCCCTTCCTTCCACCCCTGGAGAACCTTCTGCTCCTTCCACCCCTGTTGAACCTTCTGCACCTTCCACCCCACATGAACCTTCTCAACCTCCTCCACCTTCCACCCTGGTTGAACCTTCTCAACCTTTCCCACCTTCCAGCCCTGGAGAACATTCTCCACCCCTGGTTGAACCTTCTCAACCTTCCCCACCTTCCACCCTTGGAGAGCCTTCTCCACCTTCCACCCCACATGAACCTTCTCAACCTTCCAACCCTGGAGAACCTTCTCAACCTCCTCCACCTTCTACCCCTGGAGAATCTTCTCTACCTCCCACCCTGGTTGAACCTTCTCAACCTTCCAACCCTGGAGAACCTTCTCAACCTCCTCCACCTTCCACCCCTGGAGAACCTTCCCCACCTTCCACCCCTGGAGAACCTTCTCAACCTTCTCCAACTTCCACCCTGGTTGAACCTTCTCAACCTTCCA